AAAAAAAAAAAAGAAGAAAAGGAAAAGGAAAATTCAATTACAAAGACGAATCTACCCCTATTGTTTCTCCTAGTTCATTACCATTCCATTCCCAATTATCACTCCACCCACTTTTAACCCTTGAATTCAGGCAAGACAAGGCGAAGACACGGAACCCTGACAGACGTAAACGGGCCAGGAAAAAGTACAGAATATGTCGAAGACGACGTCGTCGTCGACGGCGGTGGTGCGACCGGAAGATTACGCCCACAGCCCGGTCCACTACGCCGTGGCGGTGGGCGATCACACCATCCTCAATAAACTGCTTTCCTCTTTGCCCCGATTGGTTGACCCGAACCGAATTCGGACAGAGTCCGATTCCCAAACCCAAGAACGCCTCGCCGAACAAATATCTGCTGCCGTCGACCGCCGCGACAACAGTTTAAGGGAAACCCCTATCCATCTTGCCGTCCGCCTCAATGACGCCACAGCCGCCCGCTGTCTTGCTAGTGCGGGGGCCGATATCTCCCTCCAGAATGCCGCCGGATGGAACCCTCTTCAGGAAGCGCTACTTCGTCGTTGCCCGGAGATTGTATCTACCCTCGTCCAGCATCATCACCTTTCCTCCTGGTCCAAGTGGCGGCGCCGCCTTCCTCGTCTAGTTGCTGCTCTCCGCCGCATGCGCGACTTCTACATGGAGATCTCCTTCCATTTCGAGAGCTCCATCGTGCCATTCGTCGGTAAAATCGCCCCCTCTGACACTTACAAAATCTGGAAGCACGATGGCAACCTCCGGGCCGATACCTCTCTCGCCGGCTACGACGGTCTTAAAATTCAACGTGCGAACCAAAGCTTCCTCTTCCTTAATGACATCGATCCCACTCTCGAGATCCCCCCTGGTTCCCTCATCATCCTTAACCACGATGACAAGAAAATCTTCGACGCATTCGAGAACGCCGGGAGCCCATTATCTGATTCCGACATTTCAAGCTTCTGTAACCAAACCAGCGTTTACAGGCCTGGGATGGACGTCACTAAAGCAGAATTAGTAGGCCGTACGAATTGGAGACGCCAAGAAAAAACAGAAAGTGTAGGGGAGTGGAAAGCAAAGGTTTACGAAATGCACAATGTAATCTTCACCTTCCGGTCACGTAAAATCAATGCCGGAGAAAATAGAGAAGACCCGTTTGGACCCACGTACGTTTTGCCGTTGGAGATTGATGAAGAATCTGACGAAGGGTTTATAGTGGCCGAGAATCCAAGATTTAGTGTATCTAATGACAGGCAACGGAGGCACAGCAGTTTTGTGAGGGAAGATAGGGAGTTCGTGACGGTCTCTAGGAAGAGTGTGGATATAATTCCGGTAGATGGGAGGAGGAGGGCACCGCCTTGTGCGGCGGAGAGACTGGTTGCCCCGCCGCAGACGAAAGAGAAGGAATACGTGAAGAGCCTACGACCAATGGTCTGGCTAACGGAACAGTTTCCATTGAAAACGGAAGAGTTACTGCCGTTACTGGATATCTTGGCAAATAAAGTGAAGGCCGTTAGACGCATGAGGGAGCTGCTAACGACGACGTTTCCACTCGGGACATTTCCCATAAAGGTAAAGGGCACATTTGTCATTAAACCAACTGTTGGTCCATCTGTTTCTGATTCAGTGAAAGCTTTACTTTGAATTTCATTTGCTTTGCTTTATTTTTAATTCCTTCTTTTGATGCATAACCAGTGAGAATAACTAAGACCACTGACGTGGAAGTATCCTATTGGCCCATTTGTGGGCCCTAAATAATCCAATTTTAGCTGACAAAAATATTATGTAGGACCCACATTTAATTATTTGCATAAAGCCTTGATTAAGCACATCACATGAATTCTTACGTCTTCCATTGATGTAGATTGATTTAGAAACTGTTTTGCATTTGATTATTTTAATCGGACGGTTGAATTTTGATTCAGGTGGCAATCCCTGTGGTTCCTACAGTGAGGGTGGTAATAACTTTTACAAAGTTTGTTGAGTTGCAACCAATTGAAAATTTTTACACTCCACTGTCAAGTCCTAGGCAATTTGGTACAAGAGTAGGCAATGAAGAGGAAAGTACTAGTAAAGAAAGCAGTTTGATGTCGTTTTCGTCGTCCTGGTTTTCGAGCAGCAGCAGGCGGTCGAGCAAGCAGAGTTGCAACGGTGGAGAGCATTTGGATCCGTTTGCAATACCGAGTGGATATAGTTGGAGTAGTTTCGATGAGAAGAACAGAAAAATGAAGAAAACCAAGTCTACTACCAGAAAGAAAAACTAAGTGAAATTATGTTCTTTTGACAGATTCAGATTATAAATGAATGTTGATTGATTGCTTTTGTTACTTGGGTAGATAACAATCTTAAATTTTGAAGCAAATCTCCAAGTGGGGAATTAAAGGAAAATTTTATTTTATTTTATTTTGTTTTTTCTTTTATTATTAAAATACGGTTAATTATTATTTTTTGGAAATTTATGTGCATCCTTTAATCATTTGAAGTATGTGGGAATGTTAAAACCATAGTAGCATTAAACAGGTCGGACATTTCTCTGGATAGGATTAGACGAAGTTTGAAATGAATGTATTTTGGAAGTAGTAGTTGAGTTTGTGCATGAAAGAAGTGGTGGAGAAGTCTTCCAGCACGGTGGGTGTTTATTGCTTAAAATGAATAGACAGCCAGAGATTATAGGAAGAAGGATGCGGTCCATTGAATTTCTTTATTTTCTGTTGCAAGTTATAACAAATTGATGGGAATTTGTAATGTGCCCCATGAGAAGCAATTATTTCAGTACTCGAAAAATATTGAGTGCCCATTTAAATGAAATATCATACCAAAGCAGACACGAAATTGTGGGATTACTCGAGGAAATTGAAGTCCAGGGTCATTGCCTTGGGCCTCAATTCTTGAGGAGCCTCAAAAAATTAAAAGTTCAAAAATTCAACAAAAAAAATTCTTTTTTTTTTTTGAATTGAGTCCTTTATTCCATTTAAACGACATGATTAAATGATATAATCTTGCTACACTTACACACCTTGGTACACAACCTTCTCACATATGTGTGGGTCCCACATTGTGGGATTCACACACATGTGAGATAGTTGTGTACCAAGTGTGTACAAGTAACATTTTTGTAAATAATATGAGACTAAATAAGATGCCCAAAACACTTGGACACTTATATCCTTAACGAGCTTAATTTTTTTTTTTTTAAATCTAGCATAGTTTTTTAGTAAGCTTATAATTTAAAAATTAATTTTTATGAAAGCTAAAAATTAGTTATTTATTTTAAAAAGGCTCATTTAATTTTTCAAAAATAATATAAAAAAATCAATTCGAATAGAACATAAATGATACTAAAGAGATCAATACGCTTATAGAAAATTATATTTAAGAGTTTCGTAATAATTTGTCTCCTAGGGCCTCGAATATCTTAGTGCCGACTTTGTTGAAGTCGGATGGCAAATTTACTAATCTTACATTACGTAGATCTAATAACAAATTTATAAATCTATAAGGGTGCGTTTGATTGTCAATATTTTCCATGGATAATATGTTTTTTCTATCTAATTTTCTATTTTGGTGCTATTTGATTGTCGATTTTTTTCAAAAAAATATTTTCATACTTTCGGTCACGTAATCATGTTTTTCTTGAAAACAAGATGTAATTTTCATTTTTCAAGTAATTTACTCTTTCTCTCTTATATATTCTATTTCTTATCTACCCACTAATAAAAAATGGATAAGTATAATATTTTTTAATTTGAAAACTAAATCAATCAAACACATTTAATTAATAACTTCTACACAAATAATTTCTAAGCAATTGAATTGCCTACATATTATTTTCTTTTCATGTAAATTCCATGTTAAATGCACCTAACAGAAAATCAATTTTCGAATGATTCTAGTCTTACTATAATTCAATTATTTTAATAATACATTACATTTCGTTTTTCACTAGGAATGACAAAAAAACTTGACAAACTCGATACCCGCGGGACCCGTCCCGAATAGGGCGAGAATTACTCGCTTAATCAGGTAATTGAGTTGGGAACGAGGCGGAGAAGTTTGTCTCGGGGCGAGGACATGTAACGGGTGCCCCGCCCCGTTTAATTTTTTTTTTTAGAATTCAATACTTTAAATGGAAAATTTCACGAAATTTTATTAGTTCTAATAGAAAATGACAACTAAAATTATTTAGAGGTTATTTGGGAGAGATTTTTGGGGGAAGAATTGATTTTGAATAGTGATTGAT